TATAACTTGAGCTCAGTTATATCGTGCGAGGTAAGAAAATTATTATTTATTATTTGTGAACAAATTTTTCAAAGAGCGTGACTGCAATGTTTGTTATTGCACAATAAATGTAGGGTATTAATTGAAAATAATTATTTCAGAGAAGCATTGCGCAATTGAAAAAGTTTTGGAGTAATTTAAAAGCGCAACAAAGGGACGTGCTGACAAAGGAACGGCAGCACGTACTGAGAACTGGAGGAGGACCACCGTTGAATTCAACGGTAGAACCAGATCCAGAAATTGCAGCATTAACACCGGACCTTATGTATACAGCGCCTGTGCTGTATACATCAAATAATGTGGAGGACAGCATTATTAATAATCATGATATTGATACGGAAGAGATGGAGGACAGGACCGACATACAAGCCATCACAGAACCAGCCCATGCATCCATACCAGCCATCATGGAACCAGCTGTGACCGACGAAACGTTTGAAACAATCTCGGAATTTGAAACAGAAAATGACACTGGTAAGCAACATTACATCTAATAAGTAAGACATAAAATGTTATATAAATTGAATTGTATATTTCATTTTTAATGTTTTTAGCTGTTGTGGAAACGGTATGCAGAAAAGAAACCCATAAAGATGAACTATATAACTTAAAAATAGAACGGATGAGGCTGAAAGTACAGCAAGAGAAACTAAAGGTTTCTTATTTACGGCAAAAGTACGAAAAGAAATTGAAAATACTCGATAAAAAACTGAAGGCCGCCGAACACACAACATGAATTAATGGAAACTGTCCTCCATCTCCTCCGTATCATTAATATCATAATTAATGATGTTGTCCTGCACGTTATTCGAAGTATACAGCACAGGCGCTGTATACGTAAGTTCCGGTGTTAATGCTGCAATATCCGGATCTGGTTCCACCGTTGAATTCAACGGTGGTCCTCCTGCAGTTCGCAATACGTGCTGGCGTTCCTTTGTCAGCACGTCCCTTTGCTGCGCTTTTAAATTACTCCAAAACTTCTTCAGCTGCGCTGTGATAATTAAAATATATATATGCATTATAATTAAAATATATTGTATTTAATTTAAGGTATTAACATTATNCGAGATGTCCGAGCACCGGCTGTAAATAGTTTTTAAACGGTTTCCTCAATAAACACTCGTTAATTCTTAATACTGTAGACATGAAAGTAGAATATGAATTACCTGAAAACTTGCACTTGCATAATATCACAAAAACAGGAACAATTGCAACTGTCGCGGAATTGGCAGACCACGATTATTGAATTTCTTCAATTCGTCAAGGATTTTCAGTAAAATACGATGTAATACCGATTCGTTAGTGAATCGGTACCGTCTTTTAAATTCCAATCCATCGTAATATTCAAATGGATTTTGCCTATCACGGATATACGTCCTTACGATCGGATTATTAATTAAGTCCATGATGCTGTCTTCAACGTCGTCGATATTTTCAGCATTTTCGATGTCTTCCATATACTCAATTTGTATTTCGTTCGACGCAAGATCCATTTTTTCCGTACAACTACACTTCCAAACGCTTGACGGCTCACTAACACTAATGCTCACGCCCTGTACGTGACCTGTCCGTGTGGTCTTAAGTCGAGTAAAACCTCGACTTGAAAATCCAACCTCACTTTTCGAGCAATAAGCACTTCCTTCGGTCGAATAAGAATTTCTTATTCCAATAAGCATTTGCTTGTTCGAATAAGCATTTGCTTATTCGACTGCGCATGCGCACAGTCCTCCCAACTGAGCAATTGCTTGGTCAAGCAAATGCTTAAGACGTCGCCTCAAGCATTTGCTTATTCGCCCAAATAAGTCCGGACCGGCGACTTAAGCATTTGCTTAAGACGGTCTTATTCTTAAGCACGGACTGTGAATACCGGCCTATGTAATGTGAACCCCACTTATTAAGATGACCTTCGACTAGATTCCTTCTCCTCCCTCCGAGGGGGGAGAGCGAATGTGTTACGTAATCCTATTTGCTCGAAATAAAATGATAAACGATTTTTCCTTTCAAATATCTTTTACTAAATCTGTTTATGTATGGGAATGAGTGTGAGTTGCAAGGATCATGCGATATGGTTTGGATAACGGTGTTACTGCGAAACCAAGGGTGGCGTTGGACGTTTAAAACGCGTTTAATGTATAAATAAAGTTCTCGTCTTATAACAGTGATACAGTAAATGATCTTACTTTAAACGTTGAGTTGGATTTTGCACTGAGTTTACAACAAAATGTCTGTTTGCACTGAGTTGGATTGTTCACACTCTCGTCGTTTGTATTAAGCGCGAGAGTTTACTGATTGACTGATTTACGAGTTAATCAATCCGCACATGAAGTTGCGGCCTGTGGAATTGTATTAATTTCACAGAATTTGATATAGAAACTGAGTGTAATTCCTTGAGAAAAATGCGTCTGGTGCTGATGGCTCCGAAACGAACAGTAAGGACCGTTGGCCGTGAATTCGGGGTCTGGCTTCTTCCTGCGCAGGAAGTGATGTATGCGTCTTCTGCGCACGTACGCGGTCCTTGATGATTGGCTTATTGATTCGGGCTTCGATCGCATGATCCTATGTTCTAGGCGAGAGCGCCTTAAGTATTTGAGATTATTTCTCAAACAGTTTATAGATTCTTGAAACCCTCCTCTAGCCCAGAATTCTGTGCTGGACTATAGATAATTCCACTTACCTCTGCATTAGTATTCACTCAGAACTTTATTTCTATGTCTCATACGTGTCGCTCTCTTTCACGTCCCAAACGAGACTCCCTCATTCGACTAAATACTATCGACTAATTAGTCGATAGTACGTTGCGATTATTCCCTAGGTAGTCGATACTTTAAATTAGTCGCACCGAGGAGATACTTATAAAGAGTGGCAGCCTTATGGGACTTGGTGTCGCACGAAAAAGTCGGCAATTTTTGACGCCTTCTAGAATATGTGGCCAGCGAAGTATGAAACAGATAGCAAAACACGTGTTGGTGCTGAATTGATCATAAAATTTTACATGTTACCGACTGTTAGGAGAAGACCTAACGGGGTCCGGATTTCGAGGAGGAGTAGTTTGAGACAGGGTTTTGTTTAAATAAATACAAGTGAATTCCAATTTGGAATTTAAATCACAAGTTTATTCTACCGGGCGTGAACGCCCGATAGCCCCAAATAGATGTATACAAATTCAACAATTTATTTTAATATATGATTCAAAATAAATATGTTTCTCGCCGCGACGGTCCTTTGTCCTTACCGGCGAGATCTGTAAACAGAGAATCAACAACGGCAAATTAAATTTGCCTGTCGATCTTCGAAAGTGGACTGTATGATGGAGACGAGAATAATTTCTCGTCTCGGGGTCAACTCAACTCACGATTAAACAAATGAGGAGGACCGGACGTTGCACTGATTCGGTGCGCCGAAACAGAGCCTGCGAGCGTCTCCTGCAAGGTGCTCACGCAGCTAGCCACTCTGCGTGAGGAAGCCCGGGTTGTAAGGCCGGACTTCAACTGACCTCCAAACTACGGTCAGTCCCCGTTGCAGAATACTTCGGACTTCGTCAAGAAGCTTCTGACCGGGAGGGCTATCTGACAACTACGATCAGGCCCGATGCAGAAATACTCCGGACTATATCCTAAAGAACCCTACCGGGATTAC